TCGGCTCCGGAAAATTGGTCCGTGCTGGGGCGAGAGCGCCGGCCCGAACGACGGGAGCCAGGCGCTGGATCTGAACATGCTGCCAATGCTGCGGCGGGGCACCGCACTTGAAGGACCGCTGACGACCCGGTCCCGCAGAAGCAGGCGCCCCCCTGGCGGGGCCACCACGCTGCGCGGTGGAGGTGTCCTGCGCCCTGCACTGGTTCCAAGTGCCCAATTCGTTGTCGCTGTTCTGATTCTCGAATGTGTGCATCCTGCTGCGACTTGTTGCTGTCAGCGCCACGGGGGGACCGATAACGGGCCTGGCCTCTCCGCCCGGGTCGGGTTGCGAATGTCTGGTGGGCCTGGGCACGGACAAACGCATGGACTTCGCGTCCCCGAGGCAATCGTCCATCGTAGCATGTGCCGGGTTCCAGAGACCAAAATCCTTGCAACTTGCGCCAGGGTCGCGTTCCCCGGGGTGGGCTCCATCTGCAGATGGAACCAAGTTCGCGATCCCGAGGCCAGAATCCTGTTCAGGTGGGGCGAGATGCCCACGCCCGAAGGCAGACTTTCCGGTAAAGTGCACCAGTTTCGCGCCACAAGCGCCCAGAACCCCTGGTTGATTGCGCTGGACTCCGGCTCCCGGGCCATGACCCCGATGCAGCTCACCGTCAAAAATTCGCGCACCCGAGGCCCGAGAACCGCATGAGCTGCGCCAGGTTCGCGCTCCCGGGGCCAGAACACGTATGAAGGGGAACCGGGGCACACAAGAAAATACACACAAATAACATGATTCCCCATAGTTTCCCATATTTTCTGGGTTTTTGTCTTCCCCCCCACTTCCCATATTTTCCCATATTTTTCTGGCAACCGACGATCAATTATGTCTGTGTGTCCTTTCCCTCCTGAACGTAGTACACTGCGCCAGCTTTGAGCCCCCGGGACCACAACCCTCGCAAGCTGCGCCACACCCGCGCCCGCAAGGCGACTGGCCCTTTCAAATTACGCCAAGGTCGCGCCTCCGAGGCCACGTTCCTTTGCAAATGACGTCACGATTACCAGCCGTCCTTGCACGATGTGCGGATGTTGCTTCAAGTCGGCGCCTGGGCATCCAAACTGAGAGATAAAGGGCAGGTGACAGAGGGGGAAGCCCTTACGGGTATCAGGAACTACTGTATACGAACCTCCTGTGCGAAAGCAATGTGCGGGAGAGGCAGCGGCGGCACTGGACAGTACCACTGCTGATCAAATCGGGCCAAAGGTGCTGGAGAAACAACAAAGTTGTGGAAGATGTGCGAGGGAGAGAAGGGACTGGACAGATGGGAGATGGTTCTGTGCTCCCGACCCCGCCGCCCCTTGCTCAGGGGAACAAGCAATGACACACACACACACACAGAGAATAACTCAAAGGTCTGCGCGGGCTTCCCACATCGGCGCTGTACCCCGCTCCCTGGCGCGCGGAGCGCGCCATGGGGGCTCCAGCGTCGATCCGAAAAATCCGGGGGCCCGAGCGCCAGACCTCGGAGCTGCTGTATGCTTATGCCACTGTTTGCTCTTCCTGCTGCGTTCGCGATCGTCGAGGGCACCAGACAAAGGCAGGTGCCGCCAGGATGCCCGCAGCGGCGAGGACCTGACGCCCGACCCCCCTCACGTCTGACTTCTTGTGGCCCCGTCTGCCCGGCCGCCCTTGCGTGCAGTCCGTCATCCTCCTCGCTCTCACCCCCCCTCCCACAGCTCCTCGACCTCCTCGTCCTCCTCCACGTCCTCCCCCTCCTCCTCCTCCTCCTCGACCTCCTCCTCCTCCTCCTCCTCCTCCTCCTCGACCTCCTCCTCCTCCTCCTCCTCCTCCTCGACCTCTCTGTTTGCCCCTCCTCCGCCTCCTCCTCCTCCTCCTCCTCGAACTCCTCCTCGTTCTCCTCGCTCTCGACCTTCTCCTCCTCCTGAACCTCCTCGATCTCCTGCTCCCCCTCTTCATCCCCCTCCTCCTCCCGCTCCTCCTCCTCCTCTCCTCCTCCTCCTCCTCCTCCTCTCCTGCTCCTGCTCCTGCTCCTCCTCCTGCTCGTGCTCCTCCTCCTCCTCCCCCTCCTCCTCCTCCTCCTCCTAGTTTGCCCCCTTTCACTGCTGTTCTCGATCACTCCACTCCCCTGTGGGGGCCTCCCGTGCTGCACGCTCCCTCCTCCTCCTCTGAATGGGGCCCAGGGGCGCACAACTAAATAGACACAATTCCCAGGATCCCCCACAGTTTCCTGACGTTCCTGAATGTTCGTATCTCGCTCCCCCCCTCTCCCCACACTCGTGTTAGTTTTCCACATTTTCTTTGCATTCGACGATTATTCGTGCCTGTGTGGTTTTTGTCCCTCCTCCTTCTCCCACCCTTTGGGTGGCCAATCAGCACGTCAAGGGATCCGACAGTCAGCACAACTGTCCCCGTGGCGGGGCTGACCGAGACCTTGTTTCGGGGGGCCGAAGCTCAATGTCAAACTTGATGTTTGGGCATCGCGGCGCACGGACATGCTTGCGCACACACGTTCCACGGCGTACTGGCGAACCGTTCTGAAGATGTCGCCGGTCGCTGCCGAACTTGTTGTTTAGGTCCCCAGGCTCACGGGCATTTGGGTTTGCTGGCACGCATCAACTTACAATCCTGAGGCGCCGCATCACCGATCGGGAGCAGCCAAGAGGGGGGTGTCCAAGAGGGGGGGGTGCACATCATGGCCGGCGGCATGTGCGCGGCCCGGGTTGGGAGCCAGGGACGGAATGAAATAAGAAGAGGCGCCATGAAATCTGGGGGAATATCATGCCCCCCGCCATGATATCCACCCCCCACTAGTCATCACCCCCCTCTTTTCCGCCCCCGAGAACAACGGCTCGGGCTGAGAATTTTGTCGACCGGGCCGCCGCGGCACGCACCGATACTCCACTCCAGCCCAAGAGACTTGCTCCGCGCCGCCGTGGAGGGGGGGCGCTTCCTTAAGACTGACAAGCCCTTCGGGCCCCCCCTGGCACGGCGCCACTGAGCCAATTGGTGGGTTGAAACAGTTTGTCGGTGGGTGCCGAGGGTTCTCGTGGTCCCCCCTCCCCCCGCCAGCAGGACAGGAGACGGGGCCACTGAACGCACAACAAGTCCAAGGCAACTCAAGCAATGAAGCGGTCCAAGTATAACCTGGAACCTCGTCCAAATTGCACCGGTGTAACCGCAATGACTTCAGAAGGCTGCGCGTACTGGTCATCCACTTGTGCACACGTCAGGCACGCAAGTGGAGGGGGAGGAGGGATCGGACGAAGAGAAAGTAGAGGGACAGGGTGAACAGGAGCACGCCCAGCATAGCAGAACTACATTTCTTCAGCCCAACAGCACATCGCAAAGGCCTTGGTTTGGGGGGCTGGGGGCACCCCCAGGTCCCCGAGAGCGCCCCAAGAGGGCCCGTGCGGGATTCCCTGGCGACCCGGCAACAACAACACGCAGGCAGCAAGACGTGAAAAGGCAAACAGCACATACGGCGTCGGCGGCAGCACATCTCGGCAGTGATCACGGACCAGGATACACGGACCAACGATAGAGAGGTCGGCGAATGGCGTAAACCTCCAGTCAGCCACGAAACCTACATTGGTGCTGTGTCAGGTAGCCACGGAACCTGCGCAAACAAAAATTGTCAGAGAGGCGCGGACGCTGAATGTCGGCGGCGAGCCCGGAGGGAAGTGAGAAGGGGCGGGCCTTATTAGAAGGCTCGGAAGTCCCCGGGCCTTCTGAAAAGTTTCCTAAGCCTTGCGCGGAGACGCAGAAACCTTCTCAGAAGGCGCGAGGGTTTGTGCGAATGCCTTTACTCGCTCGCCGCCGAAATTGAGCCTCCCGTCCCCCATCCAACTGAGAGGACTCTAACGGGGAATATGGCGACTCCAATCCCCGACTTGGGGGTGTCTCGACCGGACCAGAAATTAATGGCCCGACCCTGGGATATATGATGGGGGAGCGTCCTCTCTCTCGATAGGGGTGCGCCCGAAGAGCCCCCTGGGGGGGTGGCGTCCCAGAGTTCGCCCCGCCCCCATTTCTGAGTGGCCAAATCGCTTCGGGCGGAACTTCTGCTCGATGCCGAGAATCGGGCCGGGCGAAAGGGGGGGCTAGCAAAGGGGAGGTTTGAGAATCGGCTCACGCAGCTGATTTTGCCGGCGCCTCCCGGAGCCGGAGGCGGCCATGTATCGAGGAATGGGCTCCTCGGCGGGGCCGAAACCAGCTGCATGCAGCAGATTTCGTACCCCCCCCTTTCCCAATCCCCCCCTTTCTGAAGGGGAACTGGGACACACAAATAAATACACACAAATAAAAATATCCCCCATATTTTCCCATATGTTCTGGGTTTTTGTCTTCCCCCCCACTTCCCATATTTTCCCATATTTTCCTGGGAATCGACGATTAATTGTGTCTGTGTGTTTTTTCCTCTCCTGAGAAACCACCTGCATGCAGCAGATTTCGTAGCCCCCCCTTTCCCAATCCCCCCCCTTTCGTTCGGCCCGAGAGGGGGAGGTGCCCGATGCGGTCGAGCCGCGGCCGCTTTTTTTTTTCCATCGGCGGCGAGGCGGGGGCGGGCCGCTCCGGCCTGGGGCCGACTGGGGCAACCGAAAGAGGCGAATTCTCCGGCGTGCGAGGGCAAGGGGCGAAGTCGAGGGCGGCCGCGCGGGGGGGAGGTGGCAGGAGGAGGAGGAGGAAGAGGAGGAGGAGGAGGAGGAGATAGGAGGAGGAGGAGGAGGAGGAGGAGGAGGAGGAGGAGGAGGAGGAGGAGGAGGAGGAGGAGGTAGGAGGAGGGGGAGGAGGAGGGGGGAGGGATGAGGAGGGAGAAGGAGGAGGGAAGGAAGAGGGGGAGGAGGGGGAGGAGGGGGAGGGGGGAGGAGGGGGGGGGGGAGGAGGAGGAGGAGGAGGGAGGGAGGGAGGGAGGGAGGGAGGGAGGGAGGGAGGGAGGAGGAGGAGGAGGAGGAGGAGGAGGAGGAGGAGGAGGAGGAGGAGGAGGAGGATGAGGATGAGGAGGAGGAGGAGGAGGAGGAGGAGGAGGAGGAGGAGGAGGAGGAGGAGGAGGAGGAGGAGGCGCGGCGGCGGCGGTCTCTGGGGCAGTCTGACCGAATTTGCATGCCCAAGCTAACGTGCGTTAAATGACCCTGAGGGGGTGCCCGTGCAGCGCACCCAGACCGTGAAAAGGAGTGCCCTTCCTGCACTCTCGGCTCAAGGCCGCACTGCCCCGTCAGGGGCGACCCCGTTCGGGCGCGCAATCTCCTGGGGCTCCCCCTGGGGGTCGGGGACCGTTCCACTCCCCTTAAGTTTTTCAGCCCGAGGGAGCAAAACCGTCGGAGTCTCAGCTTCCATGGTAAATCTTCCGCTGCTCAACAACTGCTAAAAGCGCTCCCTGTGTTGCTAGCGCTCGACAAAATCTCGCCTGCTTGCTAAAGTTCGCGCACCTGCTACTTGCCCGGGTCCCCAGAAGGAGGAAGGGGATGAGGAAGAGCTTAAGCGAGACGAGGTCGGAGGAAGAGGTGGGGAGGGAGAGCACTCAGACCCCAGAGGCTGCTCCGGTGCCCTTTTGTGGTCGGCCCGGGAAGCAAAAAGGGCACCGGCGGTTCCCGGTGCTATTCGGCGCTTGGTGCCCCGGCGCTCAGGCTCAGGAGAGTGCTGGCGCTTCTGGCGCTTGCCGGGGCTCCCTCTTACTTTTGAAGCTCCTCGAGAAGCCGGCTGGCGCCCCTCTCCAAGGGGCCCCGCGGCGCCGCTCCCACCCGGCGCACCGCTCCCACCTGCTTGAAGGTCTGGAGGAGCAGCTGCCACAAAGCCTGAGCTTTCTCGTAGGAGAGGTCCAGCGCCATGATGATCCTGCCCATTTCTTTCTTGCCCTCCTCCTTCTTGTTGCCCTTCCAACGAAAATGCAACACGATTTCCGCCAACTCCTGGGGCGTGTTGCCCAGAATAAGGTTGTCCCAGGCGTCCTTGTACGCATTATTCATCTCGCCCGCGGTGTTCTTGTAGCCCCACTCGATCATCGCCCCGAACGCGCGGGCGTGAGGAGGGCCTCTGGCCTGGAAGTCCACCACCTCGTTCTTCTTCTTCTTTTCGGCGAGCTCGAGGCTTTCGGCATTGCACGCCTTGCCAGCCGCGCGGAGGGCCTCGCCGATGCCGGCCTCCACGTCCTCCATCTCGAAGATCCTGTGCACGGTGCTTGTGAGGTTTGCGATCTCGCGGCTGTCGCTGAGGACCAGCTTGGCCAGGGTGAGCACCAGCTCCTTGAGGGCGGCCTCCTTGCCCCCCTTGCCGATGGCGCCGCGCGCTCTCTTGATCGCGGCGGCGGCCCCCCCGCCGCCCCCCGAATCGGGGGCCCTCTTCATCCACGACGGCATGGCCAGGTCGCCCATCTTGAAAGGTTGTCTGCGGCGCCGGGGGCAAGGCGGGGCACGGGATGTGCGAGCCCAGATGGCTGAGGAGCGAATCGGTGTCTGCAGCCACGAACGGGCACAGAGGACAATCGAGTTCGTCGGGCAGCTGCATTGGATGAAACTTACGGGCCCCAATCGCCGGACAACGCCCATTGATGATCGCTCGGACCAGGTGCCTCCCCGCCAGTGCCTTGGACCCCAAGACCTCGCCGCACGCGCAAT